TTAAATAAACTTAAATTTTATTATAATTTATCTACTTATTTTATAAATAAAAATATTATTCTTATGTTGATGTTTTTTTTTTAACTTGTGTTAGTTATTTGCTTTTAGATACACTCTATATCAACAATTTTTTAGCATATGCAGAATGTACAAAGCTTTTTGTACCATTTAGGACCATACGTGTGACTAAAAATGCATATTTTTTGAAAAAAACCGTCGTATTTTCCTTAAAACAAAAAAAATTAAAAAGCCGATCAATTTTTTTTCAATACAGATTAGTCGTACTTGGTAAAAATGTCGATTTTTTAAAAATTGTAAATTTGCGGTAAAAAAAAATTCTTGACCAAATTTTCACACTCTTATAAAACACCCTGTATACGAGAATTCGCTAAATATATTTTCGAAAATCACATAGCGTTTTAATTACAATAGATGTATCTAAAACCTGGTCCAAACCGCATCACAAAATCTTTTTTAGTTCAAGAGATATTCAACTTTAAATTTACCCTAGAATTTTGCTTGTCCCGATAATTATGTCCGGCAGTTTATTTGACGAAATTGTCCACAAGTACTAGTTTACTAGTTAAACGCTTTTCTTCACTTACGCACATACGCCAGAAAGAAAACTAAGAACTAACCTGTTTGTTTCACTTATTTTTAATGGCCAAGCCGTAAGGGGAATCCCCCGGGTTCCGAGCGTCGACGCATTGGCCCGGAACGAAACGGTTTGATCGTGATTGAGATCGATTCGGTTACCAAGTAGTAATGTGTCGATCCCGCACGGCAAATCCCGCAACTTTGATCCCGCGAAATCTTAGAGGAATCCCGCATTTGCGGGATTCAGCATTTGCGGGATTGCATTCTCTAGTTGCGGGGGTGAATTTAAAAGAATCTGAATTGAAGTTTATAATTTTCGAGCAAATTGAAAGAAAATGTTAAATATCTATAACTAACTTGAATCAAAATAACTTATATCAAAAATTCAAGTTTTTCCCAAACATTCTTATTTGAAGGCCTATTTTCTTGGACTATAGTTGCTTCACGAATAAACCAAAATTAAGTGTCAAAATTGTTATAACCCTGGTATACTAACTACCCAGTTTTGCACACCTTTAAAATATTTTAGCATCGGCAAGTCCCAAGTCGTACGCCAACAAAAAATATCTCCAACAAGAACAGGATCTTGTATCCCAGCTATTTTAAAATTATTTAATATTGTAAATTTATGCCCAACCTTCCTTAATTCGAAATTATTATTCAGACGTGGTGATTCCGATTCCGTTGGAAAATAATGGCGCTATATTAAAAGTACAGTTACGTATATCCTATGGCAGTCTTAATAACTTCATTAATTTTATTTCGAGGTCGGCCTAGGCTAAGAACAGAAGACGTAGTCACCTAGATTCGAGTACTATTAACTTTTGATTTATGTGCTTGTGCAGCGTTATCAATTGCTCGACCGTTCATTTTCCTGGTCGTCCAGCTTTTGGCGATCTCTCACGATAACATCTATATCTTTTAACGTGAAATAATACATTGTAAAGTGTATTAATTGTGACGATTGGTTAAATAAATTTGTTATAGAAAAAAAAATTGTGTGTGCACTATTTGCACATATTTGAAGTGAAACTTCTTACTAATATCTATTAATAGAAGGATTTGAAGGACACGTTTGAAAAAAATTAGTTTGAAATGTTGAAAAAGTAATCAATTAAAAATTAATTAATAATTTGATTCACTTTCACAAAATTTGTATTAAAATGACCGTCTGAGGATTCTAGCCGGGTACTTTTATCCACGTGCCGAGTTTGGTTCCAACCGACCTATAATTAAGAAAAATCCTGATGATTTCGTCCATTTAGAGGCATCGCATCGGTTCGAAACATCGAGGGCCTGTAGCCCGTCCCCAATTATGCCGAAATTGACCCACATTTTTCTTCAATATCAAATCCTTATTCCCACCTTGATGAAGATGTAAACGAAACGTCGTGTCCAACTTTGCACCAGGGTGGGACCGTATGCACCGTCGTCGCTCACTTAGCATACCCACTAAATTTGGTCGCGATCGGACTACATCAACTTTTGACGTTTCTTACGTCAAAACAAACTGTCACCGTGGCACGTGTCGTATACGGTTAAGCTGGCCTTGGTTATTTTAAAAAATCGTAACTTCAAAATTACAGTAGCTAGCGAAACGCCGGTTTTCAAATTAAGATTAGGAATAATATTTGCAACAAAATTTGTAATAACATCAAAATCAGTCAAAGTCGCAGTTTTCAAGATATTAACATATTTTAGTATGGACGGCTATACGTGCCTCCCGGCGCCAATTTTTATCTATAACCCTGTCTGAATAAATCGAAAAATACTGAAAATCAGTAAAAATTGTTATTCTCAGCGTCTGTGAATCGAATATTCTAGCTACCGGATATGTTTTGGGGCATGGTGGTCAGGGTTCGGAAGTAGTTAATTAAGACGTAATTTACCTGATTAACTACGTGTAGTTTTTCTTCAAAAACTACGTCTTTTCCCGTTCATTAACTACATACATGAAAACTACATTAATAAACTATGTATTGATATTATGAATAATTTTCCTTTGTATGAGGTGTAATAGAGATGATATGATGTAAATATTATATTTAAAGCAAATTTAAAGCCATATTTCTTATGTTTTCTTAAATACATTATGTGTTTTTAAAGCTTCAACTTATTAAAACCTCACCTCAAACCTTTGATATTTGAAAGTTATTATTGATAAGTTACATAAACTACACCCTCTACATAAACTACATTAACTACATGTAATGTAGTTTATGTAGTTTTTAAAAGTAACTTTTTGGAAAAAATAACGACCTATATCCGTCCGCAAGAATCTAAAAAAACGAGGTTTTATTTTTAATTTTAATTTTTAACCATGTTACGATAACCGTAAAAATGTGCAACTATTTTTTTGTATTTTCCTCGTTCAATTTTCGCTGAAATTATGAGCTTGGTAATTTTTTTTAAGTCGATTTTTTCTCAAAATTCGATTTTTTTTATGATCAACTCGTGAAATGATAAAAAAATAAATGGCAAAAGTTTTGTATTTTTACGGATATCGTAACATGGTTAAAAATTAAAATTAAGAATAAAACCTCGTTTTATGTTAGGTTGTTGCGGAAGGATATAGCTCTTATTTTTTTCCAAAATCGCTAGATCATTCGATTCACAAGACGCTGAGAATAACAATTTTTACTGATTTTCAGTATTTTTCGATTTATTCAGACAAGATTATAGATAAAAATCTGAAACTTGCTGTATCGAAGTATCTTATGGGTACAAATACTCGTATTTCTTGAAATTATGAGCCCGATTCCTTTCTGCGGCCGATTCGGTATTCTTATCGTCCCAGGGCCCTTGAAGAGAAAAAGAAGATGTTTTTGGATGAAACCCACTTTGCGAAGCCGAACGAGTCAAAGAGTCGAAACTTTAATAACAGATAACCGTGAAAATAGACATTATTTTATCAAGCTAGATACGCTCTAATTTTACCAATGTCAAACGAAAATTTTAGCTGTTACCTTAAGATTTATGGAAGCTGCGGCTATTAGAGATGAATTCGCAGAGTACGTTGTTTCGCAGCAGGGCAAGTTCCTTGGCAAATAAAATGCTGCTAGTTAATAAAACTTGTAACTTTCTGCATATAATTATATTATAATTGTTATTAACTAAACGCATTAATTACTTGCTGGTATACGCATGGGTAATCCTCCAGCTTCTGGACAAGTATTTCTTGTTCTTAACAAAACCCATAAGCGCAATCCAAGGCTTCCATTACAATACAATTATACACAAAAATATTAAATTTGTGGAAGGGGTGAAATACGAGTACCGAATACCTACATAATTTTGGAAAGAAATGAAACAAGATTATGTTAAAACTGGAGTATACATTTAATAACTTTTTTCTACACACGTCAGTAAAAATGTAATTTTTAACGCATGCTGTCAGTGCCTAAAATTCAACATTGTGTCACTGATGGTAAAAGCCATTTACTTTTAGCACTGGTGCCACTGGTGCTAAAAGTAAGTCACGTGATTTACTTTTAACACTGAAGCGATAACAATTACCCTAGCAACCGTAAACTTCATAATTAATTTGATTTCAGAATGCCATATTATGAGTTACTCATTAACGTAAAAAAAACAAAATAAAAAGTAATAATACCTTGATTTATACGAGCATTAACCTGTTTGTAGAAAAAATAGTGTATGATATGTGTGCTAAAAGTGATTTTATTTTGTGAGAATAAAAAGGCGAAGTGCCCCATTCCTTCGAACCACTTTTAGCACTTATATCCACTTATATCATCAATAACTATTTTGCACTGATCAAATGCATTTTAGTAATTCATTAAGTGATTTGAATTGTTATTTTTCTTCGGAGGTAATTCTAAATCTTATTAATGTCCAATATATTTCCTATGGAAATAAATTATAAAACCTCTCAACTACTGAGTGAGGTCGGTATAGTTTCGAAACGATCTTGAAATGTCGTCGTATGAACGGTAATAAAAAGTAGGTGTCGAGTTGAAGAAAAACTTTCAATAATCCGTTTTAATTACATTTGCTCGAAATGTACATGCATGGCTTATGCAAATAAGTAAAGTGAAATACGATACATTCTGCAAGACGTGTGTTTTTATTTCGTCGCGGTTTTATAACTTAAAAATTGCTTTTAAAACTTTAAATCCCATTGAAAAACCAGCCAACCCTTTACGAGAGGAGCGTCAAGTGCTCCAAGTT